TGAGAGAGAGAGAGAGTGTGTGTGCGTGTGTGTGTGTGTGTGTGTCTCACCGCTTTATGGTAGCTGACTCCAGGTTGAAAATATCAAAGTCCCACGAGTCTTCGTTTTCCATCGTCTGAGCAATGCATGGTGGGATATCGTTTAGGGACAGTGGTGTGGTCAGATGACCTGGGATGTGATGCAGCTCTGAAACACAAACGGTGTGAATAGTGGAACAGGAAATGGGGTCAAAGGTCAGAAAGCAGTGAACTCCGCTCACGTTTTGTGGCTAAGATGTACTCGTTTCCTGATAGCCTGCGCAGTCCGTCCTGCAGGAGAGAAAGCAGCGTCAGCATCCCACTGACAGAAACAATTGAGGAGCGTTTCACATTCCTGATTACATGTGACAGACTGTAGCTCTGCTGCACGTTTCCACACACACTCACACACACAGGCGATCAGAGGCGCTGAGAGACTTACAGTCATCAATCCGCCCACCAGGTCGTTGGTGTGAGGATCTTCCTCTTTAGTACCGAGCTGAGGAGAGTATAACTCTGTCGTCCGCAGGATCTCCAGCACACGGTCCAATAACACACATACACCACTTTAAAATATGAGCCCGCAGAATCACACACACAGACACACACACTCTCGTGTACCTTAGTGATGGGAGCTTCAATAGTCATGGAGTGGATTCTGGCCATAGACGAGTGTCTCCTCTGAGAACTTCCTGCTAAACACAAGAAGATCTGAAAACATCCTTCACTTCACATGCACCTGAGCGCAGAGTTCAGAGGTCAAGGGTTAGTCAGGGATTCTCTTATTAACAGTTTTATGACTGTCAGTCTGTGACTTTTTTTATAAAGCTCCTTTCTTTTACAGCTGATCCTAAATTCAGCTCAACCAAAATCACTGTCATGCAAACACACTGAAGATGAGCGGACAGCCGGACGAGCCGTTAGCACACTGAAGCATCATCTGACCACAAGGCAAGGCAAGGCAAGGCAAGTTTATTTATATAACACATTTCATACACAATGGTAATTCAAAGTGCTTTACATAAAAGACAAGAAAACAATAATCACAACAAAACAAGGAATTTAAAAACTTTGAAAATGATTTAAAAAATTGATTTAAGTGAAAATGAATTTAAGAAAACGATTATACATAAAATATAGTGCAATCAGTTCGGACATCGCACAGTGCTCATTCAATAAATGTGCAGCTAAACAGATCACATGATTAAGCTAAACCTGGACACTCCGCCTGGGGGAGGGGCTCTGAGTGAGGGGCGAAGTTTGGGTTGAGGGTCAAAGGTCAGGGGTCAGCAGTGTCATCTCACCATCACTTCCTCTAGAGGTCGTCGAGCGAACGTCCAGCGATCCTTTCCTTCGGTCCTTATGTTTGCTGGACTGCTGAATAGCTGACACACAACGACAACAATGACACATCAGCACACCTGAACACACACTCACACTCACTCTCACA